GGTGTCGCCTTGTCGAACCCCCTTCAAAATTGGTATGTTAAGGTTGCATCGGAGAGCTCACCTTTGTAGAGCAGTTCTTGTAGTAGCCGGCCAATGTCCTCACGTAAAATGGTCCACATCTGGTCGACGAGCGTTGACAGTATGGCATTAGTCTCGACGCTGTCAAACGCTTTCTCATAACCGACAAAGGTTAGGACGTGAGATAGGCGGTACTCTTAGCAAATCTCGATAATTCTCGAAACTGTCTGAATGTGATCCACGCAGCTGAATCCCTTACGAAATGCAATTTGTTCTACAGGTTGGGCTTCATCCATTGTCTTTGATATGCAAGCGAGAATATCCTATCCTGAGAATATCTTCCAGCTCGTAAGAGGTTGGCCGAAACTTGGTCCGGTTCCGGAGCCGTGGCTGCCTTCATGGTCTAAACTGCGGCGCTTACTTGAGAAAGTAGAATCCATGGTGGTATTTCTCAGTGGGAATAACAGGGTTTGACACGGGTGTTGACGAGCAAAACAGATTAGTGTAGTTCGCAATCGATTTATCGTTTATCGGAAAGATGTGCGAGCCCCGTCTTCTTTTAGTTATGTTGTCAGCGGAATACGGTAGTCGAGTAGGTCCCTGTGGTACCTTTTTAGACTAATCCTTCCTTGCCTTCCTTGTGCTTCCAAAAGTTTCGATTGCTTGTACTTTAGAAGGTCTTCTTGCAAAGCTGTTCTGCAACTGGTATTGGATACTAGTCGCTCGAGAATTTGGATCCAGCCTCAGTGCTCCCTCTCTAGCAAATCCTTGGTGGCTTTCGAAATTCGTTCCAAGCTCCTTGGCAGCATTGAGGCACTTTCACCACAGGCCCCCAGTCGTTTGAGAGGTCTAGTCCTTCATTACGTCTCCTCGATGGACCAGTCACAAGTGGTCAGGAGTTCCTCCATTTGACCCCGTCATATACGACTTCGCTGCTTCCTCCAACACGGTGACAAACCTCCTTTTCCAGCTTTTGGCTGAATCGCCTTTTGCTCGAAGGACGCGGTGGTCTGAATCACTGCTGAAGAACAGTACCACTGCGAAGCCTAGGAAAGCGCCACCTTCGGCTGGTGAGGATGTGGTTGATTTCGGCGTTGGGTGACTCCCATGTCCAGCGCAGATGTTTATAAAGATGGGGTTGCCACGAATAAATCGTGCAGAGGATAAGAGCCCAACAAGACGGTTACCATTCTCATTCCGGAGTCCTGATCCAAATCTCCCGTTCCTATGCTTCCCTTCTTCTGACATTCCGATTTCGCGTTGAAGTCACGCACAAAAATTTGTAAAAGAACTTCTCTTTGCCGATGACTTCCTCCAAACAAAACTTCCTCCAAGTCATAGAATGCATAAAGTTCCGAGTCATCATCTGCTGACGTTGAAGAATAGCAGTTGATGATAGTTATCATTCTCAGAGGACGAAGATGAAGGATAGTCAGGCGAAGTGATAGGATCTCTTGCAAATGAACAAGATGGACAACAGATGTGTGTACGACG